AGCAGTGTTAATTTCTTGGTCCTTGGCGCTCATGTTGCAATCGAGCTATAAAAGATGTCACCACTGGCGGAAGTAAGGTGAGGGAGGGCTCAACAAACTCTATTTCCTATTTTTACAAATCCCTGTGAGTCTGCCATCATTTTGAAATAAATAGTTTTTTTAAAAAGCCAGCACTGATGCTTGTTTTTCTCCTTTAATATAGAATTTCTTAAATTCTGTAGTTAGAACTCATGCAGTTCTCCAAACTAACATCACTGAACTACAGCTAAATCATGTGCTGTACTGGTTGGAGACAGAGTGGCATTTACATAAATCCAACATTTGTAGAGACATAACCCGGATCAGATGGAGACATATTGCCTTACACATAGCACAGGATCAAGAAAACGCATCCTTACACCACTCGCACATTCGATTAAGGGCCAGAAAACGGAGCTAGATGAACGTTTTCTAGAAACTATGTTGTATGTACGTGTGTGTGCACTAGCACGTGCAGGCACGTGCGTGTGTGCGCATTATTGGGAGACAGAAGGAAAGAGATAAATTATTTTGATTTTCTGTTATCGCAAAGTTAGAAAAGGTTGAAGTTAAATTCGGTCATAAGAAATGAGAGAATGGATATGGGGTGAATCGTAGAATGACTATCATAGGATTTAGGCTAAGAAGACACAGAGCCCACAAAAACATGGATAAACCAAGTCGGCAAAGGGAACTTATATCTTGGATATTTCATGGTTACAATTACCTTTATAACTACAGGCCAAAAGAAGGGACTGGAGGCCAGGCACAGTGGCTCACACCTGTAATCCCAGCACTTTGGGAGGCCGAGGCGGGTGGATCACCTGAGGTCAGGAGTTCAAGACCAGCCTGACCAATATGGTGAAACCCTGTCTCTACTAAAAATACAAGAATTAGCTGGGCGTAGTGGTGGGGCGTAATCCCAGCTACTTGGGAGGCTGAGGCAGGAGAATCACTTGAACCCAGAAGGAGGGAGAGGGTGAGTTGAGGGTCTGGGTGGAGATACCTCACCCTCCCTCCTTCCTGTCCCTGCAGGCTCATGCATGTGCCCCAACTGGGTAGTGACTTTTTTCCCCAATATCTGATTGCCTCCTTTTAGCACCTTCTTGATTTAAAAACAAAACCAGTGTGACAGCTTCTGACATTGTGGTGTCCTCAACATCTTCTCTGGAACTGGAGCTTTCCTGAGTTCTGTATTGTTCTGATGGTGTTGACATTCCTGCCACCAGAGCCCAAGCTGCTTGTAGTAAAGTCTTCAGCCTCTAGACCCAGATTGCCTGCGTTCAAACCTCATTTTTCACATTTACTTGCTGCATGACCTTGAGCAAAACCTAACTCTGTGTCTAAACCCCAGGTCCCCTGCTGGAAAATGGAGCTAATTACAGTGTTAATGTCCTCAGCTTTGTGAGGATGAAGCTGAGTTAATTACAATTAGCTATGGTAACATCTGAAACTTTGGCTGCCTGTAGCTTGGGCACCGTGGTCCTGGAAGCCTGCACTTGAGCCCACTCAGGACATCGGGGTGCCAAGCTTTTCCTCACTCAGATGCTGGCTCTGCAAGAACATGCATGCGTTTCAGCGCTGAGAAACATTGTCAGGGGAAGACGGCCCCAGGAGCTACCGAAAACATTGATGTCCCCTTTTTATTGTGTTTCAGAAAGGAATCCTTCATTCTTCACCTTCTCGCATAACTCTTTGTCCAAAGATAATTTAACAAAGTATAAAGGAGCATTATAGCTTTTGCTGCAGAATTTAACTGCTACACTAGGAACTCAAACATCATCATAAAACCACTGATGATGGTGTTTGGGGTGGAAGTGTTCACAGATGGTCACCCAGCCGCCCAGAGGAAGTTCTCAGCTTCAGAGTTCAGGGGCATGGCATATCACTGCGACAAGCCTCAGCCTCACACCGCTCTCTGCCATCTGGAAGCACTCGTTCATCTCCATGGCCACCTTGCCAGCCTCTGGTGCTGACTTGGCAGAACGAATGAGAACAGTGAATGCCTGGCTACACAATTAGGACAAAATAAAACACATGCCGGGGTTTAAGTAAACCTCCATTTTTGTTTTCACAGAAGCGAACCTTGAAACAATTGGAGAGGGTAGCTTGAGGTCAGGGCAGCCCCTCTCACTTGCTCCAATTGACCAAAGAGGACCAACAGGTTTTGGCTGTTGGAGTTTATTCTCAATAACACCTCTCCTTGGTAGTTTCAACACTTCTCCTTAGGTTTTTTATTAAAAGTTGTGGTGAAAAACACATACAATAAAATTTACCATTTTGGCTGGGCGCGGTGGCTCACGCCTGTAATCCCAGTGCTTTGGGAGGCCGAGGCCAGCAGATCAGTTCAGGTCAGGAGTTCAAAACCAGCCTGGCCAACATGGTGAAACCCTGTCTCTACTAAAAATACAAAAAAATTAACCGTATGTGGTCATGGGCGCCTGTAATCCCAGCTACTTGGAGGCTGAGGCAGGAGAATTGCTTGAACCTGGGAGACAGAGGTTGTAGTGAGCCAAGATCACGCCATTGCACTCCAGCCCGGGCGACAGAGCGACACTCCATCTCAAAATAAAATAGAATTTACCATTTTTTATTTTTAACCATTTTAAGTGTACAGTTTAGTAGTGTTAAATACATTCACAGTGTTGTGCAGCCATCCCCACCGTCTATCTCCAGGACCCTTTTCAGCTTGCAAAACTGAAACCCTGTACCCATCCCTTCCCCTCCCCATTGCACGGCCCCTGGCAATCGCCATCTTACTTCCTGTGTTTGTGAATTTGATGACTCTAGGCACCTCGTATAACTGGAATAATGCGGTATTTGTTCTTTTGTGATTAGCTGATTTCACTTAGTAGAAATGTTGTCCTCAATAATATTCCATTGTATGAATATACCACATTTTGTTTGTGCACTTGTCTGTGGATGGATGCTTGGCTTACTTCCACCTTTTGGTTAACGTGAATAATACTGCTACGAACGCGGTGTACAAATATCACTTCAAGACCCTGCTGTCTTTGGCGTATATACTCAACAGTGGAATTTTTGGATCATATGGTAATTCTATTTTTAAGTTTTTGAGGAACTGCCATCCTGCTTTACATAGCGGCTGCACCATTTTACATTCCCACCAACAGCGCACAAGGGTTCCAACTTTTCCACATCCTCACCAACACTTATTTTCTGTGTTTTTTTTTTTTTTTTTTTTTTGATAGTAGCCATCCTAATGGTGCAAGCTGCCCCCTTACTTTTTTTTTTTTTTTTTTTTTGAGACAGAGTCTCGCTCTGTCACCCAGGCTGGAGTGCAGTGGCGTGATCTTGGCTCACTGCAAGCTCCGCCTCCCGGGTTCACACCATTCTCCTGCCTCAGCCTTCCGAGTAGCTGGGACTACAGGCGCCTGCCACCATGCCTGGCTAATTTTTTTGTATTTTTAGTAGAGACGGTGTTTCACCATGTTAGCCAGGATAGTCTCGATCTCCTGACCTCGTGATCCACCTGCCTCGGCCTCCCAAAGTGCTGGGATTACAGGCATGAGCCGCTGCACCTGGCTGCCCCCTTACATTTTAAGCACAAGCAGCTACTGCCAGCACCATTTCTCAAATGCAGGAATGGTGGTGCCTAAGGTAAGACCTGGGAGAGCAGCACGATGAGACCCTGAGAGTCCACCCGGCTCCTCCCAAGTGCCTGGGAGAATCGATACTGTCTGCTTCCAGAGGGCAGGCTGCATCTTTTGCATGTCTTTATTCTCAGCTTTTAACAAGAAACATTCAGTAAATGAACTGATCAAATGAGAGGGATTTGTTCTTCCTTTCTCTCCTTTTCCTGCCCTTTTCCCCACCTCTCAGGAAGCTGAACTGCCCTCCGTCTGCCCAAGCAAAGCCTCTGGGACAGGAGACAGTGGCTCAGAAACAGCCAGGCAATTTCCGTGGACTCCTTCTTTCCACTTATTTCTTTGGCCCTCATCAGTCAGTATGGAAAAGAGCCTAGCAAAGCCATTCTTTTTCCTTTTCATTTATTTATTTTTAGAAACATCGTCTCACTCTGTCGCCCAGGCTGGAGTGCAGTGGTGTGATCATAGTTCATTGGAGCCTGGAACTCCTGAACTCAAATGATCCTCCTGCCTCAGCCTCCCAAGTAGCTAGGACTACAGGTGTGAGCCACTGCACCTGGCCCAGACCCACTCTTGAGATTTGCAACCTCCGCCTCCCAGGTTCAAGGGATTTTCCTGCCTTAGCCTCCCAAGTAGCTGGGATTACAGGCACGTGCCACTGCACCTGGCTAATTTTTTGTATTTCTTTTAGTAGAGACAGGGTTTCACTGTGTTAGCCAGGATGGTCTCAAACTCCTAACCTTGTGATCTGCCCACCTCGGCCTCCCAAAGTGCTGAGATTGCAGGAGTGAACCACCACGCCTGGCCATGCATGCAGAACAGCTAACACATGCCCGACACACAGAGTATTCAGAAAGGGTGATTTCGCTTTGAAACTCAAGTGGGCCCCTGCCAGGTGGCTCTGCACTGGGAGTGTGGTCCTCCTCCACTCCAGTGGCAGCCAGGGGAATCTTCCAGCTCTTGTCTGCTCAGGCTCTGTCTCCTGCATGTAACTTTCTTCCTTTGGTTTCTCCAGGGGTTGTCTTAGCGTCTTCTGTGCTTTCTCACCAAGGGTGTTTTGGACCTTTCTTGAGAGTCAGGCTGAGTCACCCTCCTCTGTGTCTTTCCTAAGTCTGTAGGTGCTGCCACCCTGGGGTGGGAGGGCCATGTGACCAGATCAGTCTCCTTTTTCAGGGCACACTGCCGGCAGCTGCCACCCATCAGGGCAGCCTCTGGAGACCTGTTTTCTAGATGGCATTTCAGATGAGAATGACATTGATAATCATTAGCAGAGAATGTATGCTTATCTTACCTAGGACATGTCTGTAATTTCTATAAGAAAAACATAGCAACAAAGGTTTTTGCACTGATTTCTGTTTCTCTATTCTATTACAGGCTGGCAATCTGCTGAGAACCTCAGATTCACAAGAGGCTCACGGGAGGGAAAGCAGATTTAGGACCCTTCAAAGAGCTTTTCCTGGATCATCTGTGAGGACTTTTTTTTTTCAGAGCAGAGTCCTCGCACTGTCACCTGGGCTGGAGTGCAATGGCGCAATCTCGGCTCACATGCAACCTCTGCCTCCTGGGTTCAAGTCGATTCTCCTGCTTTAGCCTCCTCGCAGTGACTGAGATTACAGGGGTCCTGCCACCACGCCCAGCTATTTTTTTTTTTTTTTTGTAATTTTTAGTACGAGACGGGAACACTACGTTGGTCGTCGCTGGTCTCGAACTCCTGACCTTGTGATCTGCCCAACTCGGCTCCCAAAGTGCTGGAATTACGGCATGGAGCCACCACTCCCCAGCCTCCGCTGAGAACATTTTTAAGCCTATAGATGCTTCAGACATCGGCTACAGCAGATGACCTAGCCATTATTTCTAAGATTCTACGGAAAGAGATAGGCAGCCCATAAAAATTAGAAATAGAAACAGAGGTGGGAGTGGAGAAGCCCAACCTTGGTCAAGAACTAACCAGCTAGTTAGAGAGTCCAGACTACGGATGTGAGATCAGAGGATGAGGTATAAGGGCTCTGGAAATCAAGATGCCAGGTTGCCTGGTTCTAACCTTCTGCCTGAGAGGGCAGACACAGGCCCCTCTGTCAGGCGCACCTGCGGCCCTCAGGCATCCGCCGGGCGTCCCCGTCACCCAGCACCCACCCTGTGCACGCCTTCGGGATGCGAGACCCTGCAGAGCCTCTCTGAGGGATGCCGCATAACAGTGCCCCTGCCTAATGTCCCCCACTGATCTAAATTCTACCTTTAGTGACAACGTAGGCTTGGTTGATAATATCTTCCTCCAAAGCCTCATTCTTTTTAAACTAGTTGCACCTGGTGTTGATGAATCCCTGATGGCCGTAGAGTTGATGGATTTCCATTATGGTTCTCAATATACCAGCTGAAGACATGAAATAAAGAGTTGCAGCAGCTAATGTCACAGGTCAACTAGACTGGATTAAGGGATACCCAGATGGCCTGTAGAGCCGCCTTTCTGGGTGTGTGAAGGGTGTTTCTGAAAGGATTGGCATTTGAATCCATTGACAAAGATCACCCTCACCAATGTGGGTGGGCATATGCCATCCACTGAGAACCCAGACAAAACGAAAAATGGAGGAGGCAAGGGAATTCTCTCTCTCTCTTTTCTGGCATCTGAGCCTGCATTTTTTTTTTTTTTTTTTTTGTGAGATGGAGTCTCCCTTTGTCGCCCCAGGCTGGAGTGCAGTCGCACATCTCGGCTCACTGCAAGCTCCTCCTCCTGAGTTCACGCCTTTCTCTGCCTCAGCCCTCCCAAGTAGCTGGGACTACAGGCACCCGACCCACGCCCGGCCTAACTGTTTGTTGGTGTGTTTATTTTATGTAGAGCGGGGCTCAATTTTTTCTGGTATTTTTTAGTAGAGACGGGGTTTCATCATGTTAGCCAGGATGATCTCGATCTCCTGACCTCGTGATCTGCCTGTCTCGGCCTCCCAAAGTGCTGGGATTGCAGGCGCGAGCCACCGCGCCCGGCCAAGGGACCTGCATTTTCTCCAACCCTTGAATGTCTGCATTCCTGGTGTTCAGGCCTTCGGACTCCAGGACTAACACCATAAGCTCCCCAGGTTCTCTGGCCTCTGGACTCAGGCTACAGTACACCCCTGGCTTTCCCGGCCTCCAGCCTGCACACAGCCTGCCGTGGGACTTCCCAGCCTGCATAATCACGTGAGTCAGTTTCTAGAATAAATCTCATTTTATTTGTTTATTTATTTTTATTTTTATTTTTATTTGAGAGGGCGTCTCACTCTGTTGCCCAGGCTGGAGCACAGTGGCACGATCTCAGCTCACTGCAGCCTCCACCTCCCAGGTTCAAGTGATTCTCCTGCCTCAGCCTCCGGAGTGGCTGAGATGATAGGCATGTGCCACCACCCCTGGCTAATTTTTGTATTTTTAGTAGAGACGGGCCAGGCTGGTCTCAAACTCCTGACCTCAAGTGATCTGCCTGCCTCAGCCTCCCAAAGTGCTGGGTTTACAGGTGTGAGGCACCATGTCCAATCCCTAAATTTCCTCTTATTCATCTCTATATAGCCTATTGAGTCTGTTTCTCTGGAGAATCCTGACTAATGTAAAAGTTGAGTCATAGGAAGCAAAATACTTGCTTGTAAAGGGGAAAATGAGATCCAATGTATTTTAGAAGTTTCCTTTCCCTTTTTGTTATACTTAATGCAGTGTGAAAAGAGGAAAAAGTAAACAATCAAAAATTCAACCAATCAAATCATCAAGTCATATACCTTAAACATATGCAATGCAGAAAACACAGCCAGGTTAACATTTTGTGAAACAAATTTAAAAGCTTCCATAAAAGCTTCTAAAGAGACACTCTGTGAGTGTGACTGTCTCACAGAACAGGGGAATTGGAAAAGAATCCGCCTCTGAGTGTGGAGTCGTGAGCCCTCTGACAGCCGTCAGCCCTGACCGGATCTGTCTCACTCCCTTCATGTGGTGTCAGAGGCCTTGTCTTCTCACACTGCAGGCTAACTCTGCCACATCCTGGTAAAAAGAAGTCTGACCAAGGGGTCATCGTCCCCTTGGTTTGTCCAAAGGTCTGCCTTAAAAGGAGCTTTTTATAAAGGATGAGGGAAATGCTCTGTTGCACAAAGGATTTATTCCAAATTGAGGGTAAAACATCAAGAATGGCTTTTGTCTGCTCTGGTGTTTGCAAAACTGCTGTATATTTGCATTGTTCAAGGTACATTGTCTAGCAACAACGTATGTGTGATCCTCCAACAGACACTGCTACCTGCAGGCTCCAGGTTAGCCTGGGCGATGGCAGCCGCTCTGTGAACTGGGGCGGGGGCTGCTCTCCCACCAGGTCCTCAGGTGCCGTGGTGTGTGCATGAGGCCCTCTCTCGGGAGTGCCCACTGTTTGAGTTTCTAGGCTCTTCACAAAGGTGGTGTTGGACTCTGCTTCCATATATCATCCCCGCAGGGTAGGGAAGAAAGACAATCTTTGCACAGTGGATTTTTTTTTTTTTCCAGTTCCCATTTAATTTTGGCTCTTGGGGCAATGTCATCTTTTCAATATGAGGAAAAAGCAGCAAGTTCAACCCAAAATAGAAATCGTAAGTGTAGGATAGGACAAAACCAAGAGCAGCGGAAAAAAAGGGAATAGCAAAAGGAAGAGATGAGATGTTGCCCCATCCCGTCTCCTCTGGGGAATGACTCAAACGTTTAGGTGGCGGTACACACCTTCCCACATAGGTCAGGGATGTTACTCCTTTTAGAGGGTAAGATAAAGTGGGAATGGGGAGGGCTTTTCTAGAGGCTAAGGGACCCAGGCAGGTCGCTCCCTTTTAATCTCCTTTTCCGATTAGGAGAAAGGAAGGGATCCAAAATGTGAGAGGGGGCCAGGCGTTGTGGCTCACGTCTATAATCCCAGCACTTTGGGAGGCAGAGGTGGGCGGATCACCTGAGGTCAGGAGTTCGAGAC